GAGGATCTCCTGGAACCAACCTCTCTACCCCTCGGGGTAGGGATAAAGTCTGCGTACATACTACCCTCCCCAGACTCCACTTGTGGGATTATACTGAGTTGTTGTTGTTGTTGGTAAGTTCACCTATTTGTGACTTTTCTGGTAGTTTTTCGTTTAAAAAAAGAAAAACAATTATTCTATTGGAGAGTGGAGACCAATCAAAATGCAGGACAAAAAACAGAGAATAGGGGGGCCGCCCAATGATTTTGGTAATTCACCCACCAATCGAAATTAACCTCTAATTAGCCAGTTGGATTGTCCCACACCTACAGCGAAATACATTTAACAATCATAATGGCTGTCCCGTAAATTCATGTTCATTCAGAGGGCAAATCCGTGACTCTCGCTTTATCTTCTATCATAATCATCTGATTCCATCGCCTATGTACAATTCTCATATTTAGTTAGTAATAATGTCCCAAAGGTTCAATTGAACAAAGACAAATCGACAGAAACATTGTTTCTTTTTTGAGAAAGAGAGAGAGAGAGAGAGAGAGATCTCAGCTATATTGACATTTTAACAGATCTCTCTCGCTCTCGTTTTTGACCCCTCGCGTTAGCCATGGGTCTTTGGGAAGCTTTGCTCAATTGGCTTCGAAGGTATATTTCCAATCTAATTCTTCGTTTTTCCTTTTTCATTATATGAATATGTTTGATTGGGTACCGAGTTTAAAAAAGAAATAAAACCTTTTAAAAGTTGTCGTCTAAAACGAACAGCTATAAATCTCATTAAGGTAAAATTGAAAATTTGAAAGTTAAAAAATTGTTTTCAAATATAAAAATGTGTTATTCTTTTTGACAGACTAAAAAGGAGAGTGGAATGAAATGTAAAAGATTCATAATATAGTGAACTTCAACTCAAGTAGTTTAGGATTGAGAGTTAAGTGATTGATGTAATATCTCCAACTCCTTCCTCGCTCTTCATATGCATTTACAATATAAAGGATTTTGGGAGCTCTTTGTTGTTGATTTTAATCATTTAGAAACGATTCCGCTGAACGGAATGTTTCGTGTTCTGGTAATTCGGAATTTTATCAGTTTTATGAGTTGAATGTTGATTTATGATTGCTGGTGCTTGTATTGTCCATTTTTTCGGGAATTTGATTGAGATGAGGAATATAACTCTTCGTGATTAGCATTAATTGTTATTGACTTTGTTGAGATATAATATGATGGGAGTAATTAAAAGCACGTACTCTCTCTGTCAGCTCAAGCTTTTAGATTAAATGGTCACGCACTTCACAAGACTCATTTTAGGTGGCAAGAGGCATTGATTTACCGAGGTTTTACTATGAATTTTATCTAGAAACCTTGATAACTTTGGCGACCACATGCCCTCATATTTTAGAAATTTATGTTGCTGAATTTAATGACATGCAAAACACAAAGACAGAGCCAAACCTGTGGAAGTGGGGATTAAGAGCAGTATAGTTAGACAACTTCCCATGTATTCTCATTATCCAGAGTCCAGACTCTTCCCCCGTGCACGGAGGACATATAAGAAGTGTCATTTATTTCTATGACAAGATCTTGTGTGAGGCTTCTCTATTTTTTGGCACACTTCATGTATAAGGGTATTTATCCCCTTCACTAACGAAATTTTATTACCTTAAAAAAAAAATTCTATGACAAGAAATTTTGATCCGTGGTTCAACTGAGTACTCTTTAACCTTTCAGACTTAAATAGACTCTAATTCTAGTTGCAATATTCATTCAGATGTCACGTAGTGAACTATTGAAAATTTGTTAATTCGTTGTTCTAATCAAGCTTGGGACTTCCTGTCTTGCACACACCAATTTTTTTTGTAACTTGCCAGTAACATTTTCGTCCGCCTAAGTTCTTGTGTTCTTATTACTTTTAGGCTTTCTTTTTTAAATTCATGTATTTTCATGGAGGTTTATTGCTGTAGACAGATTGGTTGCGTGGTCTTCGAGGCCTCCTCTCTCTCTCACAAGAAGCATAATTTATCTGTGTGACTGAGATGATCTGTCAAGTGTCAGTGTCATCTGATCCCAATGATTGGACACCTGTCCTAGTTTTTCAAAGAACTAGATGACGAAAGGTGAAAATGTGAAATCAATTTATTAAATAAATGGTGGCCCCTTCTCCTTTTATACATTTTTGGCAGTTAAGGGTGCGCTATGTGCTTCTATCTTATTCTTGAACTTTCACTGGAGCTCAAGAGGGCTGGTTTGGGAGATGAACTAGATCAACAGACTAATTATTGGTAGATCTGCAGTATTTTCCATCCTTCCTGTGTTAGTAGTTTCATGCCGTGTTGTGCAACTTGGACCTCTTACTTGCTACATTTGTTTTTGGTCCCTCAACTTAGCCTTTGTGTGTAATTGTTACTTCAGCTTTTGGACCGTGGCTTAAAGTTTGAGTACTGTAAGTTATTGTATCTTTATTTTCAGAGGGCTTTATACACACGTCGGAGTTGCCATTTTGCATATGCACTTGTATTTGATTGCTTTGCCTCTCCTTTTATTATATATGGATTCCTCATATCAGCTCATTAAACTTGTTTTTCCTTCAGCCTCTTCTTTCAGCAGGAAATGGAGCTTTCTTTGATAGGGCTGCAAAATGCAGGAAAAACATCACTTGTAAATGTCATAGCTGTAAGTAGATAAGTAGTGATTGTTCTTCTATGCTTATTTTTCGTATCCTTTTGCTTCCATGTACCCTGATGGAATTTGGTGCCTTATTAATAATTGTTCGACCTGTTACTCTTAGACTGGCGGATACAGTGAAGACATGATACCAACGGTAAGTTATCTCCTAGCTCCTAGTTATAAGCCAATTTCAATGCGTCATATTTATTAGTGATAATACTACAAATTCTACTGGATGTTTAGGTGGGATTTAACATGCGGAAAGTGACTAAAGGAAATGTGACTATAAAATTGTGGGACCTTGGAGGTCAACCCAGATTTCGCAGTATGTGGGAAAGATACTGTCGTGCAGTTTCTGCTATAGTGTATGCATCCATCTTCAGCTTATTTAATTACATTGTGTGGATGTTAATATTCCTTCCTCATTGATCTTTTATATATGGAAGTAAATGAATCCAGTTACATGCTTAGTATTACTTTCACTTATACAAGCATATTCACTGCTACTTGAGTTTTTTGAGTGCTCGTCATTTTGCATAATCATAATACTTTTGGGTTGCATAGTTTTCTCCAACCATGGTTTGTCAAAAGAACAGCCGCTAGTTCAAATTACCTGATCAGGCTTTTGACAGATTCATTTCTAATATACCTCACGGGTGGTAGAATTCCTTTCTTTTAGCCGGTTTTTCTTTTTTCTTTTTTTAAATTATGAAGGAATTTTACTAATGATCCTGGTAGCCATTGTCATATCTTGTTTTTGATTTTTTTTCCCAATGTCCTTCCCTGCAGTTATGTTGTTGATGCTGCTGATCATGATAATGTTAGTATTTCAAGAAGTGAAATTCATGACCTGCTGAGCAAACCATCATTGAATGGTATTCCGTTGCTGGTATTGGGTAATAAGATTGACAAGCCTGAAGCTCTTTCCAAGCAGGCTTTGACTGATCAGATGTAAGCAGATAAAATTCCACGAGCGAAAAATATTGTCTTCTTTCATTTTGGCTAAATGGTTGGAAAAGCTTGTGGTAGGAAGCAAATTCCACTGCATTTCCTTCTGTTCCTGTTTTTTGAACAGGACGAGACTTATCCCTCGTGCTACCCCTCCTTTTTTTTCCTTCCTATTTTTACCTCAATGAAACGTTGCATTACATGTTTTCTTCATTTGGAGTCTTTCTGAATGATCTGTTATATTGCAGGGATTTGAAATCTGTAACTGATAGAGAGGTATGTTGCTATATGATCTCATGCAAGAATTCCACCAATATTGATTCAGTCCTTGATTGGCTTGTTAAGCACTCAAAATCAAAGAGTTGAGCATAATATTCCTTTCTCGTACTACTGATCAGTTTGTTGAATTTGTGAGGCTATTCCTGCTGCTGCGTTTTCCAGAGTTCTCTTGTATGTAAATTATTTTTCTTTTCCCAATTGAAGGAGTTGGTATTGTATTTTAGTTTGTGTTGTCTCCGCCTGCAGTTGTGTATGCCTCTTCCCTCTTATGGAGATATGATTCGCTAATGTGTTTTGAGAGGTACTTTCACTGATTAATTGAAGGAACTAAATTGATTTGATTTTCCTGCTTATGTACAATAGTCGCAGCAGTTGATGCCAAATTGTATGTATATCCACCTATGAGAGCTTGAAATGATCAGAGTAAATTGCCCAAGCCTTTGTAATACAGAAGCATGATGTGTGGATGAAGCACACATCATAGTTCGAAAAATTTGGTATTTAAGTGGTAAAGGATAAAGGGGTGAGCACATTATCTCCGGAGTTTTAAACCGTGTATGATTGGCTTTCAAGGATTTTTCAGTCCGGTAATTCCTTGCCCCCTTGGAATGACAGGGGTTCGTTTCTTCTGCTTGAAAAAATGAGCTCTAGAATTATGTGGCAGTAATGAAAGTAAGACAAATAAATATACTTAGCCTGTCCTTTCTTTTGTTAAATCTTCGGTATCTTCTAACAAAAATCACTAATTTTTTTTTCCTCTACAAATTCCAGAGATAGTTGAATGCAAAAGATCACAGTACCGCTTCAAAAACTTTTAAAGAAACAGTTTTGGATTTAGCAATTAATTTAACAGAGTGCACGATTATAAGCTAAAATAAAATATTATTCCACACGTTCCGCCATAAAAGTGTAATCTCTGCCTAGGTAGAAACCTTAACAAATGTGTTAATGTTGAATTAGACAATTAATTTGAAGTATAGTAGCAGTCTTGCTACTTAGGAGTTGGGATGATCAATATACGTGGTTTTGATCGAATTTTGACCTTAAAGAATGGAAAAAACCTCATTTCAGAATTAAAACTCCATGCATATTTGGACTTGAATCAAACAGAGACAAGCATGAATTATAAAGCAGATAATGTTACATACCTGGGAAAGTAAAATTTTATCTTTATAATTATTTTACAGGCACTATTTTACACTTCTTTGCTATGATTCTTAAACTTAAACTGTCACAGAATAACAAGGATCGACCATTAAATCCAGATTATTGCAGCGGCACTACATATACAATCAGAAACCTCTTATGTTCTTATGAAAAAGGGCTATCAAAACGTATACCACTCCTATCAGGTAGCAGCTTCTTCATGTAATACTTTGACCTACGAGAAAGATTGATCTTTTTCCTTCTTTGCGCTGGTATATGGTCGATGGAACATTCAGAAAAGCCACGCCTCACAAACCTGTGGAGAGAAACACATACATGGACATCAAATACAGACCGACTGTCAATAATATTTTTCTTGTTCAAGGACCAAATTCAATCTCAACATTGAACATTTTGTTAATCAAACTTCAATAGAAATGCGTGAGGTTTTTTTGTATAAGTCTATCAAGAATTGGGACTTATCAAAAGTTTTTTTTTTTTTTTTAAATTTTAAAAGGTCTACTAAGCACTGGGAATTGTAAAATAGTTTAAAAAATTAGAGGGGTGGTTTTGCTCTTAATCACAAACTGGATGTAAGGTCAATATAATTCAGCAAATTTGCACATATTGACTAAAAATGGACAATAGAAGAAAATTTGATCAATGACATATATGGCAAAAGAGAAGAAAAAGAAAAGAAAAGAAAAGCATGCTATTAGATAAGTATTTGTTAGAAGGTAGTACACTAAAGTGCTAACTTTTAACATAGAAGTGTAGCTCATCTGAATACAATACCTCGGTGAGAATTCATCTTATCGCTACTTTGGGTAATTGAGTACTTTCACTTGAGCACAGACGAATAAGATTGAGGGCATTCGGCACCACTTTATAATTAAATAACTTGATAATAACAAGGTAAAGTATTGGCCAATAAAGAATTTATCGTGGATCATCCCTAAGTGATCACCTGCTCTTGACTCTAGAATAATTTTTTTGTTAAAAGAAAGAATCATTTAAAAGAGAATAAACTGTGTGATAGAGTAGATATGTAGTTTCTCTTTTTGGATCAGCCGGAGTGGATGATCATTTTTCATTATTATTTGACTAGTGAAGTGCTATAACTCTACTTAAAACAATACAAACTACACATTCTTTTATCTTCTACAAAAATTCCAACTTCAAATTCTCTTTATAAAATGCATAGTAAATAAATAATGTTTGAGCAGATCATATTAATGCGACTTTGAACCATAATCTAACAGGTATTAAACAAGTGCCCATCAAGGAGCCAACATATCCAATTTTAGTATTTATTTCTGGGCAAGAGTTGCAGGTACTTCACATATACCTAAGACATACATGTTGCTTCTTGAGAGTGTTCATGAATCCTAAATAGTAATAATAACAGTCAATCAAAAGAAGCACTTTTTTTCCTTTTTTGATTCTCTGTACCTAAAATAGCATCTTAGCTTATCTCCTTGTTGAGATGACTAAGGACCTACATTCTCAAATTCAGTTTAATTATCGCTGCCTTTGTCCATTGCATTTTAGTTCAGCAATCAATCTTCACTCGCCCAATAGGACGAACAATGTATATATTGGCCAGGGTACAGGAAAGTGGAAAGGAATGTACCAATCAGCTGTGCGAGTTGTAAGGAGAAACAACATTTGCAATCCAAGGGCAGATGCCTTCTTCTCAATGTAATCTGCAAGTGTTTTTTTTGGAATAGACAGTTATTGGCTATTGCAATAAAAAGCCCAGAATGTTAATTCAGACCAAAAAGTACAAGGACGCCAACTGTGTTTAGGTAGATATCAGAAGTAAACATATAACTACTTGTCTCAACTAGAACTCAAATTCTTCAATAAAAAGCCAGATCAAAAAAGCACGACTATGAGAAATTAGTTCTCAACATGTTTCCGAGTAAATCAATTAATAGGCACAAGCAGACACATTCAGCATATGGATGTTGGTAGTAATACTATGAACATGACCGTATGCAAATTGTTTGTCTTTATCACTAGATTTTTAAGCTCCATCATTATCTTCTTACAATTTGTGGACCAATTTTATAAAAGTTACAAACTTCTAGTTTGAACTTAGACAAAAATAAGGATCATGGGTCGGAAGGGCAGATGGTATCTATCTTTGGACTGACTGCTATGTTTCTTGACAACTCAAAAAAGAAAAATGCTTAGACCCATCATGCTGTTATTTGAAAGTGCTTATTCCGAGCATTAAGCCGCTTGATGGATACATAAACTACCAAAAGTACACAAAACTAAAGTGACTTCTTTTACTACATGCTTATTCAAGTGCCTAGAGGCTTAAACTTCATAAGGACTAAAGCAACTTCGTAAAGACTGAAGCAATTGTTGTAACTTCTCTTGTTAATGCATTTCTAACTTCATAAGGACTAAAGCAAATAATCACAGCGTCCTGAAACTGCTTACATGCATCATATATTGTGAAGAAAAATGGTTTTACAATGAGGAAAGAGTTACTATACCAAGTAACTTGTCTCCCTGTCCTTGGCCACGACAATCAGGAGAAACGGCAATAGCAGCAACCTCTCCACATTTTTCTTCAAAGTGAGGAAAGAGAGCAGCACAAGCTATAACATGGCCTTCTCTCTCCACAACAATGAATGAGCGCAACGACTCCACCAGCTAGAACAGGTTAAAAACACCCAATTATGAAAAAAGAAAAATGATATACAAACATTAACCAAATATAAGCTGATTTAATAACTATTAAAATATAATAGAAAGCATCAACTGTAACCTCTTCTTCACTCCTTCTGATCAATGTTCCAGAGTCTTCTAGAGGTTGTAATAATTGTTTGATCCCGGGAATATCTGACGACCTAGCCATTCGTGTTCCTTCATAAAGATCACTGAGGAAGAGAGATTCATGCACATCTTAGTTGAAGGATAAGTCATAAAAGGTATAGCAAATATCAACTAACTATGTTCCAACATATTTATAAAACTGAGAATACAGCTGTTAATTCTATAGATAGGGCAATCATGAACTTCATTAGTTAGAAATATAATGTCAATTGGGAGGGATCAGAAACATGCAGATTCTCACTGCTCGTGGAGTTCTATACATTAATGTAAAAGGAGGTTCGGTTTATTTTAGCAACATAAGTAGCTGGCTAAACATCTCAAGAAATTCTGGAAATGACTTCTAATGATCATACACCAAATCATGGGGATTGACGGTTCAAAAACTCAAAGAAAAGTGAATCCATTGATCAGCTTAAAGAGGAAACAATGAAAATGTGGAAAATTGAATAAACATGCCTTGACTGAAATTACAATCAATATTCATCAAGATTTGCATACCTAGCTACCATTGTCCCAACTCCATCTCTTTGGAACAATTCCTTTAGTAAAACTCCACCAATAGTACCATCCAGCAGGTGAACTCTTTGAACACCTCCCTGATGGCAAATGGAGTACATAATTGGCAAAAGTTTTAACCAATAAGCCAATATAGATATCATATTGATAAACGAGGTGTCAATTTATAAGATACATCACAATTTCCTCAAGTGAAGAACTGAGATGAAAGATCACAGTGATAGTTGATATCTACTAGATACCACAAACCATATAGCCATAGCATGTAGTGGGGACATGAAACCAGTTAAATATTCTGTAAATATTACATAATCTCAACTGCACAAGCTATTAAATAAGTTTTACAGCAAAGAGAAGATGTCTTCCAAAATCTACCCCTTTTGCCATCAAGGATCAAGTTTAGAGAATATGCAATTTTCTGTTGTATAATTAGGGTTTGGGTAAATAACAAGACAATTATTGTCCAGGTTAGACAATTTTATGAATCTGCAGATATAGTGATTAGACAGCCAGGATCTTACCCTGCACACAAAAGCAGCTGCAGCTAACTCTGAAAGATAACCATTTAATCGGCTTAGCCTCTCTTGTCCTCCAATGGCAAAACCCTGTTCACTAGACCAAAGCCCATTCCCATTGTCAAAACCAACACCGTTCTGAAATGTGACACTGTATTGTTGGCTAAAACCATTCATATTGTAGGAGATTGATCCATTGGAACCATTGTGACCTAAACAATTGAAGTCCTCTTGACTGACAGCTTTTACATAATTAGCTGCTGTCTCACTTTGCTCTGCTCGTTTGCGAACCAGCATGTCAGCATCTTGAAGAGTTAAGAAACGAATAAGACGGCCAGACTCATCCAGAATCGGACCATCTATAATACAAATCAGTTTTTCTGCTCCTAGAGCCAATGCACAAGCTGTAGCAACTTCATATGTGCTTCAATAAAATAGAACACGTTATCAGTCTTAAAACTCGAGGAAAAATAAAGAAGGAAAGAGAAAACATATCGACAAAACATTGGCTCTTGATTGAAGTGTCAGTAATGTTGTATATTGAGAGTTAAGAAACGAATAAGACGGCCAGACTCATCCAGAATCGGACCATCTATAATACAAATCAGTTTTTGTGCTCCTAGAGCCAATGCACAAGCTGTAGCAACTTCATATGTGCTTCAATAAAATAGAACACGTTATCAGTCTTAAAACTCGAGGAAAAATAAAGAAGGAAAGAGAAAACATATCGACAAAACATTGGCTCTTGATTGAAGTGTCAGTAATGTTGTATATTGAGAGTTAAGAAACGAATAAGACGGCCAGACTCATCCAGAATCGGACCATCTATAATACAAATCAGTTTTTGTGCTCCTAGAGCCAATGCACAAGCTGTAGCAACTTCATATGTGCTTCAATAAAATAGAACACGTTATCAGTCTTAAAACTCGAGGAAAAATAAAGAAGGAAAGAGAAAACATATCGACAAAACATTGGCTCTTGATTGAAGTGTCAGTAATGTTGTATATTGAGCATCTAAGTTTAATCAATCAGAAATTGCTTATAGAAAAAACATAACTTGTTACACATTACGAACAGTAAGATGAAGTAACTCGGCATGGCATCATGAAACAGATGACCACTGTGTAATACAAGTCGAGTTCCCAAGAATAGTAGATTGATATAAAAGACAGGCATTCACACCGAGGGCTGTGACGCACAAACATATCCACAAAAAGCTGACTCAGGATTGTAGTCCCAGAAAAATGTTGTGTACTGAGCATCTAGCTTAATTGACACTTTATAGAAAAATGCAAAAATAGTACATATTTAAGAACTAAAATGACGTAATCTCTGCAAACAGATGACCACTGTGTAAAACAAGCTAAGTTCCCAAGAATAAAAGATTGATACAAAGAATAGCATTCCAACATAAAATCGTAAAATTATTGGCTTCTATCTGTAATGAGGAATAAAGATGTGTTCATAGTCCAGTGCTAAGCTAATTTTAACTCAACAAGCCCATCCATATCACCCGTCCAACAGAGTGGAGTTTTTTTTGTTCCACATATGTGTGTGCGCACACAATATTATTTATAAGAAAACCGTACTATCTTGTAACCAAAAGAAGGACAAGCATAGAAAGTTGTTGGTGTACTTCCTAATCACTCAGTTGAGAGTCTTTGAACTTCTATCTAAATGTACATGTATCCTGAAAAAGTTGATTGATAGGTAAATAAACATTACTATAAGAAAACACACAATTTGAGTGTAACACTTATTCAATCAAGTAACCAGAAACACAAATGTGTGACCTGAATGAGATCAACCCGAAGTAACATTTCTTTTCCAATACTTAATTTTACACTTCTTTCTGATAACACTTGACGACGTGCACCCTAGGCATATATCACATTCTTGCTTGTTATTTCCCCTTTTTTCGTGTTAAGATATCACTAGAAGACTTTATTTTGATTTTTTGGATTGACTTCTGGATATTGATCCTATCACTGAGATTTAAGTATTGCAATCTTCCAAGTACACGAGTCTCACCAAAAAAAAGAGAAAAGGAGCATTTTGTGCCCGTCAAACAGTTGAAGAATGAAAAAGGAGAATGTCACATAAGTTAAAGTAAGCATGAAAATGCCAACTACAAGTTTGATTGAAAGAGAGGGCAGAACAGGGAAATTAACTACACGAAGCTGTAGTCTTATGTATCACCACACTTTAGTATAACTCCGTTTATTCGCTGATTTTAATGACTTAAGTATAATGATGCATAACATCAACAAAGATACATATCAAAAGCCATAAAGCATACTTGCAGTTCAAAACTTCTCCAGAGCTGGAATAACCAAGATTGCTCAATAGCACGATGCTATCCTGATCAAGCCTCTCACGAATTCGAGAAACATCTATCTTCTTTACTTCACCCGTTGCTGCATAATCGATTCCTTCTACAACTCCTCTCTTCTGCATCAAAATTAAAATGAAAATCACAAGTCAATCTCATTGTCATATTTGATGCCAGAAAATTTAAAACCCAAAAAGAATGACAAATGCATTTCATATATTTACGTAATGCAATGAGGTCATATTCTCACCTTTGCTGCTAGAAAATTACCACTGGCAACACTAACACCATCATGCCAGCGACTATTTTCTCCATGTCGGCGGACACCAGTCAATGACGGCCCAGGAGACAATTTTGCCTCTATCATAAGACGAATTCTCCCAGCTGCATCCATTGCAGCCATCAGTGAATCAGGGTCTGTAACTCTGTAGCGGCCTACATACTTGGGCTCACTTCCTGTGAGAAAGAGTTATCAAATCACTTGCCTCTGAGAATATGCTTCATAGAATAGAGACAAATTGTAGTTAAGGGAAAATAAAATTAACATAATAGTGATAACTAAAAAGAGAAAAAGTAGAAGATTTGAATAGTAAGTAGCATACGCTGTTAAACTCCTTTGCATGCAACGATTGGTTATTTTGAAATGCATAAGGTGGTTGTTTTCTCTTTCTTCTATGAAAGAAAAGGAATAACCGTAGCTTTGGATTTCTCCATGTTAATTGTAGCAATATTTGGGAATGTATTATAGTCAATGTAATTGAAAATAGGATCTTGCATCTAAGCTATTTACTAGATTATGTGCTCCAGCTCATCATTAGCTAGCTGATCAAGCTTTAACCTGAATTCTTCACTGTTTAGAGCAAAACAAAAGCAGTTTCCCCCAAGCAACAGTCGAGCCAAATTGGACGGAAAATACCATTTTAGACTTTCCTGAGTTTCATTGGCTTAATGTCTTCGGAGTTTGTTATATAACATATTTAGATACTTCTCCTCATTTAATAGGAAAATAGATGTACCAATGCAGGAACACCATCTATAGGATGATAACACTAAGACAAGGAAAACCAACATTCTTCTGCAAAATAAACATTTGAGGTAAAGGGCAGCCTGTGCACGAAGCATCCCGCGTTTACGTAGGAACTGTGGAAGGGCTGCAACCCAAGGGAATGTGATATAGGCAGCCTAATCTAATGCAACCGTTAGTGGCTGATTCCACGGCTCGAATCCATGACCTATAGGTAACATGGAAAGATCTTTACCGTTGCTCCAAGGCTCCCGGCGAAGAAAAGATAGGTAGCAGCAAAAAATTAGCAATATGAAAATAAACAAGAAAAGAAAATAACAGCATTTTTCTGACCCCTTTCAGCCAGAAAGCTATCAATCTGGACATGAGTTCCAGGTACAAGAACAAACTTGATTCCCAATCCATGAAGTAGAGAAATATCCTGCAAGTTTTATGAGTAAATAGCATAAGCCCAGCTGTTCACCACACATTACTGAAAGTAAGGTAAAATCAATGAAATAAAGAACTTGCTATTACTAAAAATTAATCACTACTCCATCTTAAACTAGTTCAAATAGACTATATGAATCTTCTACATCCATTCCGCTTTATTTTGAAAATCTTAAAATTTGTGTGAATTATAGTTCTTTTAAAATTAAAATTTCTCTATATCACACATTAAAAGAGGAAAAAAAAATCTTCATCCTCAATTTATGTGATGTGTTTGACTTGGCAAGAAGTTATAAACAATCTCATTGTTAAAATACTAAGTTTAATTTAAACTATTTCCAAATATAGAAAGTCATCATTTTTGTACAAAAGAAAGAATATTACTTAAATTAGGATAGATGGAGTAGAATAAAAGATTAGGAATAATAATAAAGTTTTAAGTTATATACATTGTAAGCATTGAAAAATTACACTATCCGATCACATTTACCTAATTACAAATTTCACTTAAATTTACTTTAGTAAGTGACCTAATAGTGCAAAACTCTTTTTTACAATATAACTTAAAACTCTAGGAATATAGATAAATGGAAAGACAAAGTTAAATTTAGGAACGTGCCATGAGAAGAGGATCCAAATGAGGGCTGCTATCAACAATTTCAGCTGAGATTAGAACAACAAAAGTGCTGCCCCTGTGCGCAAGAAAATAAGGCCAAGCTTCTCGAAAAAACCCCACGAATATATCATCCTTAATCGCATTACTCACGTCAAATAAACCGGCACTCTCCGTTTCACCAAAAACGTTGCACCTTATTGAAAATCTCTTTGACAAATTAACTCCAAATGATAACAGCTTTCGTCTCGATTGGAAATTATTACGAATTCGAGGTATCAAAATTGGTTGGTGGCATTGTTTTATTGAAACTGGAGAACAAGGGCTTGAAGCTGACATTGGGAATTTTGTGGTTTTAGCAAGAAAATGAAAATGCCCCTCCGATAAGTAATACTGCTGCTGATATTTTGCGGCTACTGAATGGATGGAGAATTGAAGGAGAAATGTTGTGGAAAGTCGGGAACGGACATGAACCGGCAACTGGTTAACCGTCGACCGGGTCTGTCCAGTCCGACCGGTCTTCTTCTTAATTAGAGGGAACTAAACGGTGCTGCAAAAATCATCTAATTTTATACACTATACATATTAGAAGTCTAAAATCGGATTACAAATATAATTTTCGAACATATTTAATAAATTTATAAATATAAAGTTTGGATTATAATTACTAAGCTGTACCCATATCTCGCCTTCTAGCTCCGCTCTATATATATTGATATGAGTGAAATATTTCCATAAAAAATATTTTTTGAAAAATAGGTAATTTTTTCCTTATTTTTCAATGTGTAGTAAATAGATCAAAAGATAGTTTTTTCCAAAGATACTTATTGTTTTTCGAGCAATAAGTCAAATAAGAGAAAATTAAAATATTTTCCTCACCTACCAATTACTAATCTAAATTGTTTTTGTTTGATTCTCCCTCTTTTTCAATTTAATCTCCTAATGAAGGGCCACGTTTAATTTGTGATCATTAACGACAAAGCTGACACACCAAGTGGTGCTATTAATTGGAAGCGAGCTCTTACGAGAATCTTATTTTGTTTTCAGACACGTGAATCACATGCACGCACATATTGGTCTAGCTGATTTATTCTATTGCCACTTTTCACATGGAAGTCCATGCCTTCTTGGAAAAATTAACTATGGTTAGAATAGTCAATTTAATAAGTATTCTGTTACTATTATTAATTGAGGTACGCATAAACTAGTCCGGTACTATAATTATATTTAAAAAATTAGAGTTACTCACAACACACCTTCACCCACTTATTCTTGGCTAATAAGTAGATTACCGTAATTGATTAAGAAAATCAATGACTGTATTTGATAACCCAGTGTTAACACTCCAAAATTTAGAAATTCTAACCATAAGTTTAATGATAACGGGTGGCGAAAGCAAACAAAAATAGTGGAGTTTCTATCGCTTAAATTTAGGGCGATAGAGCACACCACATACACGTTAAAGAAGTACGCCCTGATCGATGAAAAGAGAGAAATACTCCTTACCATTTTATATGATGGAAAAGATCACTACACGAGTTAATTTGAGAAAGAATAAGTAGGTTCTACATCAATCTATTGAAAATATGAAATTACGTATATAACTTCCGAGGAGATTGCCCTGATATATAGAATTTAATTTGAGCGTGGAATATTTACTGTTTTTACGTCAAACTCAAAATATATGTATACATAGTTTTAAAATTGCTATATTTATACTAAATTTACAGTCAAATAGTGGTTAACTAACTATTCAGCTATTCCATAAGAAAAAAGATTTGGTGTCCAAAATCTTCTTAATTCGAACTAGAATTCAAAAGATCAATTAGAGAAGCTAACACACCTGGAGTATAGAAGACAAATAAGGACTTTCAATGATCTCAGCAGATAGAACAAGGACAAATGTGCTACCCCTGTGTGCTAGAAAATATGGCTGGATTTCTCTCATCATCTTCACAAATTCCTCTCCCTCATCTTCTTCAACTTCAGCTGCTGCCATTGGCAAACCATAATAATTATCATTCAGAGTAATAACTCCGCCACTTTTTGTTATGCCACTGCAGCAGCTCAAACGAGTCCTCTGTTTTTCATTTGTTCTCTTCCCTTCAATTCTCAATAATTTGTCTCCTCCCCTTATGAAAAGATCAGATTTTTTCCCCATCCCCAAATTCCATCCATAATTTAGTTTTAACATTGCCATGATCTTGAAAAAAAATACCAAATAAGCGGCGAAAAGGCGGTGTTTATGATCAATTGAAGACCAAAAAAAGTAGTACTAAACGGTGGAAGTAAAGAGAAGACAACTTAGTTGGCAAATCTTGACGACGTGTTTATGTTTCCGAACTGCAGCTAGCTCCATTGCTTAACACTAATGAAAAAATTCAGAATGGAAAAATATAATTACGTAAAGAAGATGAAGTAGGGGTGGCGTGCTAAAGAGACATATTCTTTATTCGTGTATGTAATAATCATGTGTCCTTGGATAATAGCATGGAGATCAAATCAATGGCTTACAACCATGAATTTAGCAAGAAAGAAAGAGAGAATTAAGGATATGTGGTAAAAACACAAAGGGGAGACATAGACTTTAATTTGTGGGACTCTCTATATGGAGTGTCAAGCATCAAGTCACAGAAACTAGCTAGATTCGTTTAGGGAAAGTATTCGAACATTTTTCACGTCATGTGTTTGTTGGGAATTGATTATTAAATGTTGTACAACTATGATAGTACTATACATTTTTGATTTTTCACACTACATACAACAAAACTCCAAGGTAGTGTAGGTCCATTGATTATTAAAGAGGTAATCAAAGAAACAAGGGAACTACCGGTTTTGTCCGCCCATAAGCAACTAATCACGGTCAATTCATAAAATATTTATCTGTTCTAGTTTATGTGAACCTATTTCCTTTTTGGTCCGTTCTAAAAAGAATGAATCCTTTCTAAATTTGGTAACAATTTAGCTTAAAGTTACAACTCTACCCTTAATGAGAACGTTTATAACCCACAAATACTCTGGCCCCATTTGAACTTGTTTAGGACCACAAATTCCAAAAGTCTTCATTTTTTTTCTTAAACTCTGTGCCCAGTCAAACAGATTCACATAAATTGGAACGGAGGGAGTATTAATATTAGTCAAATGCTACCACTATTAGTCAATTAGCAATTTCTAGCAAAAAAATATTAAAATTTTTGCTTTCTTTCGCGTGGTATTGTTGGAATAGAATGTGTACATCTTAACATGAACATGAAAAAAGATGATCAATATGCGTATCACACTCTGTATTATTTGTATATCACATATGTATCATATGTGTATCACATGCATATACATGTATATCTGTGTGTGAAATATATGTTTCGCAAAAGAATTTTTTAAGCTCGATTTTAACTACGAATTTTGACACCAAACCATTCCAAATCACTTACAATCTTGCTCAAATTTTGTATATTGCCTCAACTATATGTTTTTAACGAATTTCAACCATACCCATTGAAAAAAAAAATTGCCTAATTTTTTAAAATATTGTATATTATTGGGAATGAATTTTGACTCCAAACTAGTCTAATTTACCTTCAAACTTTCGCCAAAATTTGTATATTGCCTCATATATGTGTCTTCAACGAATCGCAACAATACCCATTGAATTTGTTTTTGTCTATATTTTTCGATAGGTGTATATCATTGATAATCTTTTTGGTTATTTTTTTAGCATGACTAAGATGACTAGTTATCGGTAAATAGTCTTTTTTGATACATTCCCATAAAATTCCCAAGAAATAATAGTGTACCTTATGTTATGTAACCGTTTGACCGTTTGATTAAAATAGACACACAATTAGACATTGTATCAAAATGGGCAGGATCAGCTTGGTCACACAACTCAACATCGGCAAAATTGTGGGTTCAAATCTCACTTGATCTCTGATCTATTATGAGAAAATGCATAACCACATGCTTAGGACCATGAAAAAAAATCAGATTGCACGTGAAGGGCGTATTGAAAACATAATTAATAGCTAAAAATGTACTTCTTTAACACTTTAAACGTTTAAATGAGATGATCATACAATTAAAAAAATATTTTTCGTTAATTAGTTATGAGGGTATTTGAGTAAATATTAGATAACTTCTCTGAAGAAACAGTCACGGTAGATATTGGACAACTTACGAGGGTTTGCATAGTTGTAGGTTTTTGAAAATTTTGTAAGTGTCCTGTCTTTTGCGATTGATAAAAGAGCTTTTCTTCGAAAAACACCTCCTAACTACTTCTTCATAAAACAGTGTTTTTTAAAAATATCTTGCAAATATTTTTGAAAAAAATACTTCTAACAACTTTTGCAAGATTTCAAAAACGATACACAAGCAATACAATAATAAATTCTTAAAAATTATATATACGAGGTGGTGCTAACAAATTTGAAACGTTTCAAGAAGGAAAAGGGTGCTATAATTTAAAAGGAGAAGAATATATTTAATGTAGTATCACACACGTTGTCTTTTTTAGTCTGAATCACACACATTATCAACACCACTTCCCATTCATTTATTCAGTAGGACGAATCAAATTAATGGTGGTCCCAGCTGTGTTATGTATGTCTATTCTCTAGCATTATTAAAATTTTAAGGCATCTTACCCTTGCACTATTTTTTTACACCAAAATGATATAAATGTCAAAATGCTGCAAAGTAACTCCAATCCACTGCACTATTTTTTACACTAAAAAAGAATATTCCTTTTATATTCTTCTCTCTTTTCTATATTATATTATTTCTTATAAAACAAATCCTTTCTTTTTTCGTTTTACATATTTATCCCATGTAATTCATATTTCTTTCTAATATAATCATTTATTATAAAATTATTTTATACCTTTAATTTTTAAATAATATAAGTTATAAGCAAATATTATATATTATACATATTAATGTATAATTCAAATAAAAATAAAATCATTGATAAGATATAATTAAATAAATATTACGTTATGGTAAAATTTAGTTTAATTTTTACATAAATATTCATCTTACAAGATTAGTATGTTGCTCCCATAAATGCTCTATTAATGCATTACGAAGTGCAAAATAAACATCTTTGTCCTTAATTTTTTTGTGTGTCTGTCACGACCTCGAGAGTTGTGATGGCGCCTGCTAGTATGAGCTAGGCAAGCCAATTATCGAACAAGTAACCTTTTGACCCTTTTTATACTCTTTAATAGTTATAAAGCAATAACGTGTAAACAACGAAAATTTATAATAAGCGAAAGAAAAGCAATAAAATATCTGAACATGTAACCAATACAACTGTTTAAGCCTTAATCACCCAGAACTGGTGTCATAATGTCATAGACGATCTAAGATTTACTACATACAAAGTCCGAAAAATAAACGATACACTGTTTCTGAATGAAAGAAATGAAACATGGATAAAGGGATAGAGGGAGACACCAGGGTTTGCGGACGCCTGTACGTCTACCTTGGATCACCGCGTGGACTGAAGGTAGCCACCCAATCTACGGTCCAAAAGCTGCTCTAGGATCTACACATAGTGCAGAGTGTAGTATCAGCACAACCGACCCCATGTGCTGGTAAGTGCGTAGCCTAACCTCGACGAAGTAGTGACGAGGCTAGGACCAGACTACCACATAAACCTGTGCAATTCAACTATATACAACGAAAAAGAAGAACATAAATAAACAGTCAAATATGGGAGGGGTATCATGCTGCAGGGGAGATATCAATTCGGAATAGAAAGACAATAGGTAATTGAAGG